TCGGGCAACTCCTCCCCTGTCCTTGAAGTGGTCAAGCCTTGCTGGAAAAAGTCCGAGCCTCGCTTACCACCTCCCTCGAGCTTGCCCGCGCCCTTGACATGGCAGACACTTCTCTTCCAGTGAAACTGCTCCTGTAGTACTGATGGCGGCAACATCTTGTCACATGCAGCGCTCCTCCTGCTCTAGAATTGCAGGAGTCATGGCCAAAACATCCATGGCCTCAATCAACACTTCAACCAAGAGTGTCAAGTCCGACAGTCTCCTTGCACGACAACTCAACCGCTGGCGTAGTGAACAAGCCGCAACGTGGCCGTTCAAGATGAGGCAAGACAAGTCACCGAACAGACTCACATCTTCAAGGGCTCCGCTGAAGGATCAATGCAGACGTGTCACCGTGACTTGAAGCTCCGATTGGTCGGCGTTGGCATCCTGTCTTCTGCAACACACGGTTCTTCACAGTGGGGCCGCACTCAATTCTTACAGACAAACCCGAGGCTTGCACTTTTGCCTATCTTCCTGGTCCGACCTCTTACCCGTGTCCCCATCCACAGAAACCTCCTCTTTCTCCCGCAGCTTGAGGACGGCAGACGTCGCGCTCCATGTTGACTGCCCTTCCACATTGGTCGACCGAACCCGGAACCTGAGATTGGAAGCCAATCGGGTTGCAAGCAGCTCTGGCCGATGCGACAGGCAGCTCCACTCCGTTTCGCTCAGGAAGCACTGGCTTTAGGCCTTCGATCCAAGTCATGACATCTGCATTTTACACTGATGCATCTTGGCTCCGCACCCATGAGCATGCAGGAGGATACAAAGCTGTCGAGTCGATCGTCCCACTTGTGCTCGTGGCTGAAGAAAAGCCGACTGCCATCAATCCTGCAGTGGCTTCGCACGAAAATCTCTTGGGCGTGAAATATGGCCAGCCTCCAAGCACAGGAGAAATCCCACGGCAGATTACATGCCACCTTCCCAGTGGACTCGTGCCTCTTCCACTCATCTGCACCTGCCGCTCGGTACTCCACCTCATGGTGAGGCCTCACGCACGAGGGCGGCGGCTCAGCATGCAAAGGTGCACAAGTGAAGTCGCCTGACATCTGTTGCACCATTAGGGACGGGCAGCAGGATCTCCAGTATTTCCTGCAGCCATCTACTTTCAGACGTGCTGCAATCTCTGCTTGCTGGTCGAGCCGCCATCTGACCGGTGTCAGGAAGCAGCCTCACCTCTGGCACGCCTGAGCGGGCACAGCGCTCAGGACGGCTCCCTTCGGCATGTGGCTCTGGCCTGGATTCGGAGGAACCGGGCAGCTTGGCATCGTCTGCGGTGCACATAGCTCACTGCAAGCTCCTTTCACCTCCTTGCTCTCGCCGTTTGCAGGATCGCTTACCTGCATGTCACTTCTCCGAACCCCCAGATCGGCTTCCACTCAAGTTTCAGATCCAAATCGGCGCTCTGATTAGTTGACATGTGCAGGATTGAGGAATGCATGCCAATGAGCATGAGCTGTGCCGAACACAAACAATAAATCACCTGCAAATTCTGTTGGCAAGGATTACGAGAAATCAATGCAATATCTGCTGTTCACCCTGGCAGGCGACACCAAGTCAATTACGGCCTGGTAGACACACTGCGCAGCAAAGCGATACGTTACACCACCTGGCATCAAGGCCGTGCAGAAACCCTTCTTGTTTGCTCTCCGCATTTGACCGCTTGTGCCACTGCAGCTGGTATGTTCGGGGTCTGTCGAGGTAATGTGCCAAGCCAAGTTGCATTGTAGGCTCTTCACGTGCATAACTTGAGCGCCCTTCCAGGGTTCAAGATCGGAGCCACTCGCGACATTGCTTCAAGCTCTCTCTGCCTCTTGGCAATCCAGGATCTCTTGTCTGGCGGGAAGGACCGGCTCCTTAGGAGAGCAGAAAAGGCCATCGCTGCCGTGTGGGGCGAGTCTGGCTTGATGCAAGCAGCGATATGCAGGATGTACTTCTGAATCGGAGGGCAATAGTTGGCCGCAAGGGGTGGCTTCAAGCGCAGAGAGACAGCGCAGCTCGTCTCACCCATCTGCATGTAAGGCTTCTCCTCAGCACACACTCCCTTCAAGGCTTGGGCTTAGAACCCTGCAGTGTTTTCATGTGGATGGCATGGTGTTGTTCGTGGGCCCTCCTTCCTTCAACCACTCTTTCAATCCCTCAACCCGGCGTCCGCTGCAGGCTCTGGCGGCATTGGCAGCTGCAGCACGAAGCTGACGGAACCCCCAACCTGCTCAACGCCAGGGTGTTCCGTGCAGTGTCTTTGCTTGCAACTTTCTCTGTGATCTCGAAAAAACGTTATGCCTGCTTGCCAGGCACGCGGTGCTGCTCCGAGCAGAAAAGGCGGATGTCATATGCCTGGCACAAGCAAAGTTGCGGAACGTGTGCCAACACGGGACACTGTTGCTGACAAATCACTCGATGGCCGCTCACGCTCCATGGGGCTGTGAGCCACACCACACAATCTCTCATTGAGGCGGATGGTCCTCCATCACAGAAACAAAGGCACAAATAGTTCCCAAAAGTCCCGTTTGGTTGAGTTGTGGGCTCCCCTGATATTCTACCGTTAACAAGCCCGAAACTTCATGAAGCCCTTCGAAATTACGAGTACACATTAGCAAAGCCGCCCTTCGCAGCAAAAACACTGCTGCCATGTGCCACGACTAACCAACTCGCGCACGACAGCATAAAAGCACTTGCAATTCGCTCTAGTGCAGGCAGAGCAAGACAAAACAGACTCACTTCCCCCACAAGTTGAAAGCCATGTCGCCTAGACCATTCATGAAATTGTTTTAAAACGCTACACAGTGCTGAATCCAGCAGCAGCCAGTGTCGGGGGATCTATCAGCACACTCTGCGACGCGACGAACCCCTGGCCTGCTTGGGGTTTTTGGCTTTGCACTCCCGCAAGCGGCAGTGCCGACAGAGATCAGGTCAAAATCACAATGTCGGTGTGGCCGAAGCACGATCATGCGACGATCTCGAGCGTAACTATGGAGCCAGTTGCTTTGACGGTTCCTCCTCGGTCTCACGTGGGCAGAGACGGAGTCCTGCAAGGGCAGCTTCGTGCACGAAGCTCCTGCCACTCGAGGAGATCGAGCTCTTCAAGGATGGTTTCGACGTCGCAGAGGCCATGCGAAGCAAGTTGGACCGCTTGCACAGGCGCTTGAAATCTCGCGCTTGTCTTCCTGAGAGGTCCGAGAAGGTCCAAGAGGCGCGAAGGAGCGAAACACAGAGCTAGCGGAGGGCTGAAGCTGCGCAGAACCTGCAGAAGCGACAGGCTCTTCGGGCGATAGAGCAGTGGCACAGGGTGCGACAAAACCAGGCAACCCAGGACTTCTCAATGCGGGGTCTCTGTTGGAGTGAAGCAGTGAAGAAGGAAGCGGCTGAAGTCCCACAAAGCGGCCCTTCGGCCAGGGAGGCAGAGGAGCACGGAGACGAAGAGCAGAGTCCGGCAGTGTCCCGGCAGCGATCGGCTGTTCGGTGATCGAACATCAAAAAGAAGAGCCCGCTCGGGGCCCCGCAAGGCCCCGCAAGGCCCCGAAGCCGACAGCGGGCATAGAGCGAGACCAACTCGCACGAATCCCGTTGACAGATGCCTCGAAGGACCGAGAGCACATCCGGAGCACCCAAGGCTGGGCATTAAGCAGGACCAAACGCTTACAGATGCGACCGGCACATCGTCCTGGTCAGCTGACAGCTGTCTACATGAGGATTTCAAGTCTCAGCATCTTCCGTTTGCCTCAAGCCTAATGCCTAAGAAGCACAAACCGAGAAAGATATGTATGGTCGTCACCTTGCCACACGATTTCAGGTCTTGATCAGGCCATCAGTCGACCAATCGTCATGCGAAGCGATGTGCAGTGACCGGCTCAGTAGCACCGAATCGGCCAAGCAGAGTTTCTGAGTTGCTAGGCATGATCTGAGGCGCAGGGTGTAGAACAGAGTGATACAACAGCGATCAGCCCAACCAGAAGGCGCGGGTGGCAGCGGCACAGCATGTCGAACTCGCTGCTTTTTCCGAGGGGGTGTGCACCCTCCTCTCCTCGAAAAAGCTCGGCCACGTGGAGGCAAAGGCGGCTCAACTTCACGTGGCATGGCTTGCATGGCAGTTCGCCACCATGTGAAAAGGAGGAGGAGGAAGGGGAGGGGAGGAGGAGGAAGGAGGGAGGAGGGAGCACCCGGAAATACAAAAACGTTTCACTTAGCAAACAAAATCCGCCTTGACAAAAATCACTATCACAAGGCAGGATCTGAACAGCATGCATGACACGTGTCAGCACTCAAATTCGTCAATCGCTGAAGAGACTACAGCGTTGCTGGCGCTGCTAACCGCACTTCTTCAGTTCTTCAAAACGTAAAACGTATCCGGCTCTCCTGCACTACAGTACAGGTAGCCGATGCTTGGCAAACAGACAGCCAACACCAAGATGAACAAACCTCCGGCCCCGGTAGTTAGAGTGGTGGCGCAACCTAGTTTAAACAAGGAAACAGTTCCGTTCAACTTGCACCCTCCTGGAAGAGGATGTGGTAGACCTCGCCAGCTGTAAGTGATGACGATGTGAGCATGGTACGCCCGCCGTGTCGCCACTGCTACTTCCAACGCGACGAGTCACATCCAATCTGTGAGAAGCTCTTGACCTTCTGCCCATCCAGTGACCAAAAGCCTTTGGTGCCCTCCTGTCGAATTCCCGGCAAGAAAGGCTGATCTGTCTTTCAGAACTGTGAAGTCGGGAAGCAAGGAAGCAGGATTTTTTTGTGGACCGCATGCATCAACACGCGAAAAAGCTCGTTCGCACCTCCTCGTTCCAGAACAGTCGTGATGGGACCAGGGCCAGTACCGGGCACTTGCCGCAGAGCGGTGCTAGCTCGCTGCCAAGCCGCACCTGGTGAAGTCAAGACTTTTCTTTGCCATTCAGCAAGTCTAAGCTGCGCAACTTGGATATCCCTGCCCATGGATTTGCATGGTAGGCGTAGTCGTGGGATCGCATGGCTGAGGGTTGGGCAAGGATGGCTTGCAGCCACGGCACACGGCAGATGATGCGGTCACCGCCCTGGTAGCTTCGCTGGTCGATGGCCAGCACATCGGTGATGTTGCACAAAGATGTCAAGATGGAGTTGACCTCACCACACTAAGAGGGGCACAGCAGTCTTCGGGAGTCTAGTTTGACGGAAAGTTGCTGTCACGCTTTGCCCAGGCCGCTCCTCGGAGAAGGGAGCAGAATGGAGCAGGGCTACTCGGAGACCTGGCCTACAGCGCTGGCGGTGCAACCGGGAGGCTAAGGCCTCGTAGGCGAGTCGAAGCTCTGCTGCAGTGCATCTGGCCGGCAGAATCCCGCCAAAGGATGACAAACCTGCTGCCGACCTTCAGCCGTTCACGGAGCTCCAAGAGCGAAACTCGAGCCAGACCACCAGACCCTCGCAGAAGCCAGGATGCTTCATGGTTGGCACTTTTGTCATGGGAGCACCTCAGCATGCTCCGCACGGCCGTCGATAGCTCAAGCTCTGGGAATCGCCGAAGGTGTCGCAGAACAAAAGCTGGCTTAGGTCCGGTTGAGGCAACTTGGGAGTTGGCTTCACATTCTTATCTTGTTTTTTGTGTGCAGATGGAGTTCCTGAAGCCCAGGCAAGCAGCTCTGCCGTTTTGCGCTATCCAAGGCGGCTTTCGCCTTCGAGGCGGCTTTCGCCTTCCTTCGTTCACCATGCAGGGTCTGCGCCACGGAATATGGGTTTGGTATAGTTTCCAAGAACTCATCGCAAAAAGGCAACACCCAAAATTTGCTCAGCGCCTCGAACCTAAGTTTCACTTTGGGAAGCGCCCGCAAAGTAGGACCAGGTCGGTCACCTTCTTTGATTACGTAGCGCTGGAATTCCTCAGCGTGCCAGCACGTTGACTGCAAAAATCGATCTGTGGTTCATAGAGACCCCAAGCTGCCTTAGCAATTCCGTACTTGTCTCTTTTCAGGTCGTAGCCTTGCTGAAGCTCCAAGAGCCGTGTCCTTCTACCCAAGACCCAATACAGGGAAGCGTCTTCAAAGGACAGCGCACGGTCACGGTCACCTGGCGACCTGATGCTGACAGTGCGCACAGCGCGTGGCGTTGAATTCGTCGCAGTTGCTGCACTCAGCCGAGGCGGCCAAGGCGCAACTCTGCCGCAAGGTCTTCAAGACTCTTGTCAATTGGCTTGCAAAGGAAAACGATGATGGCCTCATGACCACTCATGCGGACACCAGCTGCACAACGGGCACGGCTCGGGCTCGGTGCCAGGCAAACTCTTCCAGTGAAAAGCCGGTACCTGCAGGAGAGCATGGCCGTCACGTGGCATCCCCTCAACTTTATTGTTTCACGGCTACTCTTCGAGTGTGTCCTGCAGTTCGCGATTTCTTCCGGGGGTGGGGCGCCTGCTCCCGTGTCCCGGGAGCTCAACACCTAAGGCAATGGGGCACCATCCTCCGGCATTTTCAGCCTCCGCCGACCAGAAGCGCCCTGCATGGAGGATTCAATGTTGCTGCGATTTGCTGCGGCTTCGGGCTTGATGTGAAAGCGCTGCGGCTCAGGGCTTGCAGCAACAGCTTCACTGTAAACACCCGCCGGCTTGCAGAAAGACCCAGGTTCTCGAAACAGGAACATGAACTGAACCCCACAACCGCTTTTGCTGCCTGGTCAGCTGCAGTGACGGCCGCCACGAACTCAGCCACTTGTGCTTTCTGGACTTCAAGCAGTTCCGAGATCTTCTCAGCCTGCCAAGCGGGGTTTAGCGCAGAGGTTTCAGCGTCACTGCAACCTGGTGTTGTTCGCGCATGTCTGGGAGTGTGATATCGGCTGCCTGAATGCGTCCAGCGGAACCAGTATCAATTTCAGCTTCATCGCCGTCATCCCAAGGCGACCTGTCAACCACGTCGAGCACGGCTCAGTCATCACTCGCGGGCTTAAGCTCACTAATGACGCCTCAACACTTCGCTCATCAAACCAGCGACCGAGAAGTATCCGAGCCTCAAGTGCTCTGCTGCTCTTGCAGTGTGCTGTGCGCTGCGATGTGACACGATGCACTGCGCTTTCAAGCATCTGCATGCACTCTCCCATCGCACTCTGGCTGTCCCGCTCCCGAAAGACACCCCGGACCCAGTCCAGCAGCAGAATGCGCCGTCTCATAGTGCCGAAAGAAACTCGTGGAGCGACCTGCTCACATGCAGCCTTACCAATCGCATCCGACTGGTTGAAGCCATGTAGGGAGCGAGGCAGACATGAGGAGGAAGGATCTTGCATGATTCCAGCAAGTTCGTCTTTATTTTTTTCCAGGAAGTACAAGGTTTCGACTTGCCTCCGCAAAGACCTGCTTGATCCTGGTCGCAGACGTTGTTTCAGCCGTCATAGTAGCCAGACCTGCTGCCAAACTCAGCGCTGCACAAGGCTTTGGACTTTTCAAACACCGAAATGCCAACATGCTTGCATGAGAAAGACATAGGAGCTAGAAGTGTCCCTTGAGGTGTGCCACTTTCGTGTGCTTCGATTGCCCCGGCCTGCGAATAGCCGACGGCACCTCGCCTGAACATCCTCAGCTTGATCAGATGTTAAACACCCCGACATGCAATGTGGCATTCGTTCGAGCAACCGCTTTCGCGACAATCGCCGCGAGCTGCTCTGCATCCTTCGGATGCAGCTGTGTGAAAGGGACAAAATGTCTTTGCATCCAGATCGCAATGCTGCTGTTCAGGGGGTCCTCCTCCTCTGACGCTGCTGCTGCAAACGGCACAGCACCGTTGGATATCGCGACACCGATTTTCCTTCAACACTCAAACGAAGCACGGATGCATCGAATCCGTTCTTGCCAAAGCACTGATCTAGAAGCAAGAGCCGACCATGCCAGTTGCGAAACCTTGGCCATATTGCATGGCAGCGATGCCAACGTCGTGAATCCCAAGGCCCTGTAACGCTGCTAAAAGAAGCACAGACGCTCGGACTCTTGCTTACACAACAGCTCCTGCCCTTCGCTGGAACCAAGCAACTGTTCTTCCGTCAACTCAGTCAGGGCCGCGGTTTCTGCCGGTGTGTGCACAGCAAATGCAGCCTCTCAGGTGTTTACATGCACAGCACCGACCGATCACCATTGCTAGTCGGAAGCGAGATCCTTCCGACACCAAAGCAGATCACATGACGAAGAAGCTTCTCGGCTCGAGTTTGTTTTTGTTTGGGGGGTAGAGGTAGCGTGAAGTTCCGCCTACGAAAGGCGAAGAGCCTAGTTAGCTCCGTAGATGCCATGGCCAAAGGACGGATGCGCGAACGAATTGCGGAGAGTGTA